CTGAATACAGCTTAGTTTATAACGAAGATAGACGTGGGCCAGAGAAACAAGTTAACGTGATAAGGCTAGTCAACGCTAGAGTCGTGGATTGGGTGATAGGAATGGGACGCGGTAAGTTTTCCTATCGAAACAGATCAAAGAATCATTTGGTTTATTTGAATTACGTGCGCCTGCCGATAGGTTCAAAACAAGAGTAAGTGGAATAAATCCATGAAGGAGGCACAATCTCTTCTCCACCGACAGTAAGTCGGATGGCGAACTGAAGGATCTGGACTGAATTAGCATACAAAACAAAAGCGAGACCTTTGAATTCGGCTGCGGCCTTTAGCTCGAAACTCACATTTACACCTTGTGGATTTTTGTCATCAAATCGCATCGTTATCTATTTCAAGGACACCAGCACGTTTGTGAAACCTTTATATTTATCGCTCAAACCGCACCTTTTGTGAAATACTCCAATGATTTGAGAAATTAATTCAAGCGGATTATCACAACACGAGGTGGCAAAAGGAGAAATCATCGCGATATCGCCACCATCTACGAAAACCCAACGGATAAAACCACTTGCCACGTCATCGAATGTAAACTCCGTTTTTTGTGTGGGATTCGTTCCATACTTCTTGTAAATTTTTACCTGTCACCCACAATGTCAGCGGCTGACATAGATAGGTTTCCTAATATTTTTTCTACCTCCACTATATTAAGAACACGTGACTCTTTGTGTATATTTGTTGGTGATTTTAACAAAGATGATTTAGCTTTCCTCACCACACTGGGACTACAAAATTTGGTATATTTTCTTTCCAGACTCAATTTACAACTAGATTTCATTTTTATAAATAGACCGTAATTTTTTAGCATCCAGAAACGTGCACCTCTGAGCAGTTCTGATCATCGTACCTAAACGTATATTCAACTGTATACCACAAAACTAATTGATACACGTTTTTAAGAACACCTTCCAGGATAGTAAATCAAAGAGATTGTTCATAGTAGAACCTAGAAAAGCTAGAATCCCTGATTGCTGCCACAGATTTTCCGTTTTTTTCAGATCAGGCCCTTCTGTCCTCTGTGATTATCTTACGGATTACCCTAATTTTTTGTTTTAATCAGTGTTGCCTACCCATCATCGCAACTTAAACAGTTACGCAGGTGGAAAAACAGGCCTGTAAACATGGACAAAGAATCCATATCAAACGGCCTACAATTTCGGTCAAGGCAGAAATAAATAGGTTGAACAAATTATACATCGATACTATCCTGGAAAACTCTAGTTGTCGTGGCATGTGGCGAGCTATCAACCGCCTGTGTAGCAGTAGCAATAAACACAAAAGGAAAACTGTCGATGTTGAAAGACCGAATTCCGAGTTTAGTTCAGTTTTCACAGTACAATGTCCCGCCAGACTTGGTCAACTTCACGCCAAAATCAACTATCGAACCCACCATGGTCCTTCAACAGCTACTGAAAACACGGATAAATAAAGCATCTGATACGGATGAACTATCACCTGCAGTACTCAAGGTATGTTTGGACACTTTCAGTCCCATTGTCTAAAATATTTATTGACTGTTTAATAAGGACGAAAATATTTCGAGACTGGCCAAGACAAATCCTGTTCCAAAAAAGGAACTTGGGAAGTATCGTCGCATCGCCTGAACGTCAGTCATGCTCAATTTTTTTGAGCGATGCTTGTTACAGTGGTTTGTCACTGAGTCTGCCGAAGACGGCATGCATCAATTTGTATATCGATCTTTGCACTCAACACTTGATATCGTTGAATACCTTGTTCATTCAATAATCCCGGCACTAGATAATAAAAGTAACACCGTCAGAATGGTATTCTTGGTGTTCTTAAACAACAAAATGCTTTCGGCAGTCTTTATCAGTTTGTCTTGCTCAATTTGATTAAAAAATCAGGGTTAATCAAAACCTTAGCAGATTGATCCGCGATTATTTCACAAATAGAAGGCAATTTACGTTCCTCAACGGCAAAATCCTCCATGCGCTCAATTGCTTCTAGTGTTCCACAAGGTGCAATATTTTCCCCATTTTTTTCAATGTCTGTCGAACAATTTCCTTCTATATCCGTTGACTACAAATAGACAGAGGATGTTGCTTTAGGTTGCAAAGCATCAAGCCCTGAAGAGTTTTCAGAAATTAAAAGCAAGTTAAAACACATTGTTACTTAGTCCTTGTCGCTTTCCCTCTCACTGAATGCATCTAAATGTCGTGGTGTTGTGTTTTCCCTCTTAGCCGATTTACCTTATCCCCCCCACACACACACACATTCACCCTCTCTG